ACAATAGGAGACAGCTGTACCTGTAGGGTCTACGGACAAGCACATGACATCTGGGTGAAGTAGACATCAACAATAGGAGACAGCTGTACCTGTAGGGTCTACGGACAAGCACATGACATCTGGGTGAAGTAGACATCAACAATAGGAGACAGCTGTACCTGTAGGGTCTACGGACAAGCACATGACATCTGGGTGAAGTAGACATCAACAATAGGAGACAGCTGTACCTGTAGGCGTCTACGGACAAGCACATGACATCTGGGTGAAGTAGACATCAACAATAGGAGACAGCTGTACCTGTAGCGTCCACGGACAAGCACATGACATCTGGGTGAAGTAGACATCAACAATAGGAGACAGCTGTACCTGTAGGGTCCACGGACAAGCACATGACATCTGGGTGAAGTAGACATCAACAATAGGAGGCAGCTGTACCTGTAGGGTCCACGGACAAGCACATGACATCTGGGTGAAGTAGACATCAACAATAGGAGACAGCTGTACCTGTAGGGTCCACGGACAAGCACATGACATCTGGGTGAAGTAGACATCAACAATAGGAGACAGCTGTACCTGTAGGGTCTACGGACAAGCACATGACATCTGGGTGAAGTAGACATCAACAATAGGAGACAGCTGTACCTGTAGGGTCTACGGACAAGCACATGACATCTGGGTGAAGTAGACATCAACAATAGGAGACAGCTGTACCTGTAGGGTCTACGGACAAGCACATGACATCTGGGTGAAGTAGACATCAACAATAGGGAGACAGCTGTACCTGTAGGGTCTACGGACAAGCACATGACATCTGGGTGAAGTAGACATCAACAATAGGAGACAGCTGTACCTGTAGCGTCCACGGACAAGCACATGACATCTGGGTGAAGTAGACATCAACAATAGGAGACAGCTGTACCTGTAGGGTCCACGGACAAGCACATGACATCTGGGTGAAGTAGACATCAACAATAGGAGACAGCTGTACCTGTAGGGTCTACGGACAAGCACATGACATCTGGGTGAAGTAGACATCAACAATAGGAGACAGCTGTACCTGTAGCGTCTACGGACAAGCACATGACATCTGGGTGAAGTAGACATCAACAATAGGAGACAGCTGTACCTGTAGGGTCTACGGACAAGCACATGACATCTGGGTGAAGTAGACATCAACAATAGGAGACAGCTGTACCTGTAGGGTCTACGGACAAGCACATGACATCTGGGTGAAGTAGACATCAACAATAGGAGACAGCTGTACCTGTAGGGTCTACGGACAAGCACATGACATCTGGGTGAAGTAGACATCAACAATAGGAGACAGCTGTACCTGTAGGGTCTACGGACAAGCACATGACATCTAGTTGGGGTGAAGTAGACATCAACAATAGGAGACAGCTGTACCTGTAGGGTCTACGGACAAGCACATGACATCTGGGTGAAGTAGACATCAACAATAGGAGACAGCTGTACCTGTAGGGTCTACGGACAAGCACATGACATCTAGTTTGGGTGAAGTAGACATCAACACATGTCGTTAGTGTTTGGAATAGAAAACATTAATCACCATGCCTACTTATTGAGATAAAATGGGAAGAAGAGTCACCTTGAACCTTCCACTGATGATGCCATGACCTGTGTATTGATTTGACATCTAAGGTATGGAATAAACATGCTGGTAATAATCTCATTATCGTATAATGTAATAAACTGTTTGAGACGTGACGTCACGCAAAGGCACAGCTTTTGAAATCAATGTTGAAGCCAAGTGCCTCATATGGATAAACATATTAACAGACCGAGTTCTAAATTCTTTAAGAATCATGTCTACACTTCCAACAGACTGACATAACCATATAAAACCACGGGGTCCCTAACTAAACGCAAGATCGTGGAGCATAGTGTTATTTCAGTTACAAAGGCGAGTGAGTGAGTGAGGTGGAATAGTGCAGTTGTGGGTGAGTGAGTGAGTGAGTTGGTCACCGTTAGCACTAGGCAAACCGCATCTCGACAACGGGACAAGCGGGCAGTAAGGTCTGCACGCGATATATATGCGTGTTTGATCATATAAGATGCAGTAATAAACCTGGTAGTTTCCCTGGTTATCTTGCTGTAAGAATATAGCTGGTCATGGTCACTGACGTCTAGGGGACAAGGCCAGATGTGACAGAGACGCTAACTACCTCGTATACTCCCCGGGGAGCTGGGAATAAAATTTGAATTCACTCTGATCCCTGGGTAATGATGTCCCGCACGTTGAGAGTGCAAATCTATAGCGTTTATAGTGGCATCACCTATCACAGATGTTGAATATTGCAATGGTTCAATGGTCTTATTAGTTATTAAATAGGTGTAAGCATGGGACACTGCATGGGTACTGTTTCTACCATCCCTACAAGCAAACAAACAAACACACACACAAACAGTAACTGACCACCTTGGTAGTGTTTGTGGCTATACAGGTTCAGACAGAGACTTTGACCAGAAACAAATCAATCACAGGAGCCGTTCTCGTGGATACACGTGCCTACGTTATAACTGTTGTATTCAACAAACAAATGTCTTGAAAACGTCAAAAGGTACCCATGTATTCTCCTGAACCTTTGGATTTACCTCTGTGCCGAGTGTAATATTACAGCTAAATGTAGAACTACATATCTCATGCTATGTTTGCGAAATGTCGATTCCTTTCGAGCGCAGTATGAGTTTTTGTTGTTGATATGCTTACTTGAAAAAACAGTAAACTGCTGGTAAACTTTCAATTTCTTGTCACAGCAGTCATTCATCCCACATTTTACAAGGTATTGATGTAACTTAAAGCGACGAAGCGTTGAATCTATTACAGCATTAAGAGCAAATCCAAGCAGTCGGGAGGCTATGTCTGAGACCTGGGAGTGGCCGAAAAGCTCTCTCTCATGATTCAATGTGCTTTGGAGATTGTATCTTTTTTCAGATTGACAATCGTTATTGGATCGCGATGATCTGTTATTTTCAGTGCTCTGTCACAACAGACCTGTCATATTTAATATGTGCGTTTAGCTCCTGGACATCAGGATAAAACTTGTCATATTTAATAGACAGACATTACAAATATGCACCTATGACGTTACGGGAGCTTCTGTAAGTCTCGCGACATGCGTACTCTTACCATTACTGATCCCTGCTACACAATGGTGACGGCAGATCGATCAGTTGGTGAATTGTGATTGTTTATGAAGCAGTGTCATTAAGTAGGTAACGAACAAACGTAGATGGCAGGAACCAGTGTCATTAAGGAGGTAACATACACGTGTAGACAACAATAATGAGTGTCATTAAGTAGGTAACATACACGTGTAGATAATAGTAACCAGTGTCACTAAGTAGGTAACATACACGTGTAGACAACAGTAACCAGTGTCATTAAGTAGATAACATACACGTGTAGACAACATTAACCAGTGTCATTAAGTAGATAACATACACGTGTAGACAACAGTAACCAGTGTCATTAAGTAGATAACATACACGTGTAGACAACAGTAACCAGTGTCATTAAGTAGATAACATACACGTGTAGACAACAGTAACCAGTGTCATTCAGTAGGTAACATACACGTGTAGAAAACAGTAACCAGTGTCATTAAGTAGATAACATACACGTGTAGACAACAGTAACCAGTGTCATTAAGTAGGTAACATACACGTGTAGACAACGGTAACCAGTGTCATTAAGTAGATAACATACACGTGTAGACAACAGTAACCAGTGTCATTATGTAGATAACATACACGTGTAGACAACAGTAACCAGTGTCACTAAGTAGATAACATACACGTGTAGACAACAGTAACAGGTCATTCAGTAGATAACATACAGGTGTAGACAACAGTAACCATTGTCATTAAGTAACCAGTGTCATTAAGTAGGTAACATACACGTGTAGACAACAGTAACCAGTGTCATTAAGTAGGTAACATACACGTGTAGACAACAGTAACCAGTGTCACTAAGTAGGTAACATACACGTGTAGACAACAGTAACCAGTGTCACTAAGTAGGTAGCATACACGTGTAGACAACAGTAACCAGTGTCACTAAGTAGGTAACATACAGGTGTAGACAACAGTAACCCGTGTCATCTAGAAGGTTACATACAGAAATCAATGTCTTTAAATAGGTAACGTGCACGTGAAATCGTTTAATGTCATTAAGTAGTTTAAGAACATCTGTAAACAATACCTGTTATCAACTATAATTGTGAAACCTACAATACGCTAACGCTTTAAACCTCGAGCTAAGGTCGGCCATTACGGTATGCACGTGGAACTCGAGGAGGCACCTTGATCTAAGACTCCTCATTATTAATCTCATATACATATTTAGAAAACTGAGTGTGTTGGATGGGTTGGGGTGGCGGTGAAGGAGGGTTATGGGATGGGTGGCGGTGAGGGTGGGTTACGAGGTATGTGGGGCGGGGGGAAGTGGGTTACAGGGTGGGGGTAGGTGAGTTACTGGGTATGGGGAGGTGGGTTGTATATATGAGCACTTTATGTTTCATACATGTATTTATATTGTACATAATGATGTAAACGTGTACCTCTAATGCCGCAGAGCACAGCCGGAGTGTGTATAAAGTTCAGTTCAGTTGGCTGGGTAGAGAAGCATCATATATCCTACCACCATCTCCAGACCAAGTTTTCTTATACATTTTCCTTGGTGTGTGGATTACATATTCTCAAACCTTCCATTCTCCAATGATGAAATGCAAACTAAAACTGTAACATATGCAACGCTCATTTATAAAGAACCAGCCAGAAACGCCTCTCCCTATATCTATGTACATGTAAGTGTATGTAGCCATGCAGGTAAACCTGTATTAATCAACATTACTTCACCGACTCACGCTCAATGCAAATCCAACAGGTGTAATATCATAATTCAAAGTTTACGTTGACCAAACCATTGTTGCCTATAAAACGACGAGAATTACCTACAAGATGACAGTAGAGTCTCCACCTCTCACGGGATCTTTACGAGAGTTGGACTGGTGGGTCGTGATTTATATGTGACATCCCGTCTCCCATACCCCCGGGCTTGTCTTCCTACCTGATCGCCGTGAAGAGTCGTCACTTACTCCCCGACTTGGAATAAAGTCAGACTGTCCCCGGAACCAGGGACACCTGTGGGATAATCTTTGTGGAACAGACCAGCAAGATGGGTGTGTGGCAAGGTTTCCTAACGCTCCTTGTCCCCCTAGTTTTCGGGGCCCTTCCCCCTCCTCCTGCTCTTCCAGGGTAAGTCAAGTTTGTTTTTGATTGTGTAAAGAGTTAAACTGGCGTTGGCTTTAAGGCTTGTCATCCATCTTCTTGGGTCATAGGTAAAGTTTTTAAGGTCCGTGAATAATTTTCGTTTAAGGTTTTCTTCACTTACAGCTAATTATCTTCAGATAATGTGTTCGTGTGACTACTATAGAAAACGTGCATATTATTTTACAGTGATATGAATTTTTGCTGAAACGTGCTGACAGTGTCACGATTGATGGCCTAGTAAACACAGCGTATTTTTAGTACAAATTGACAAGAATAATTACTTTCTATTGTGAAAGTAACGGTTGTGATGGATAAACCCCAATTGAAATATGAGAGTCTTTGAAGTGTCAACTGAAAACGTTTCTTTTGTTTCGAAAAATGAGAACATTTATTTGCGATATAAAATTATTTCAAATGGTTGGCACATATACTTCAAACTTATGAAGGTAAACATTTTTTGGGGTAAACATGCAAACTGACAACAAAAGAAGACAAACAGAAAACTCTCAAAACCTTTATTCATAGTACGTATATTCTTCATGAATTACATATGTGTATTTACACACTGACCTACCTCTAGTCCTGTGGGAACTAGCCAAGCCTGTTGGTCATTACCAACTGCCACTTGGCGACGAGCATGACATAACGCCGAGAGGTTGACGCGCATGACGTCATGCCCTCACCTGCAAACACAAACATGTCCATAAAGAAGATGTATGAAACTGTGAGAAATATTTCACAAAACCAGCTTGATCACAAAGACTGGACAGGATAACAAACCTGTCTTGACCCGTGTCAGTGTTGACACACATGCCGTACCTATCAAACATGGAGGGCAGTAGTAATTAGTTTACCCTGAGGTTAAAACATATTTGTCATGTCTTTCATACGTAACTGGAGGAAGGGTCGCCGTGGCTCGTCAGGGGGACAAATGTCTACTAAATAGTATCAGAACAGTTTTGTGTTTATTTGTATTTCAATATGTTTCCGTGAAATATGCATCAACTACATGAGTGATTTGTTGAATCAAGTTCAAACACTAACGCGCGGTCGCTTCTTCACGTCTTGTAAAGTTGAAGATTTCGTTTTCGATCACATTTATCTTCATGTTTCATGAAGTTTTCAGTTTCTAAAATCCCGATTCAGCCTACTGAGTCAAGAGCCGACATACTGGTTTCTTCAGCTGTATCGCCAGTTCTACATCCTCCCTATAGCTGCTGTGTGATATCTTCATTATGCTAAGGTTATAAGGTCAGTCTACAACAGGAACACTGTAGGGAGCCCTATCCTAGTGTAACAAGCTGGAATATTGATGAAGTACTATTAAAAACGCCGTGAAACTTTACCCAATAACATATATTCCATTCAACTAATCTTTATGGTGTGCTGGGAGAAAGGCGAGAGGGAGTATGCATGAAAGCAGTATACTTAATTTCCTCAATATTTAATAACGACTTTTCACGTGAATATCTAGGATTGTACTATTGATTTGACATTCCATTGTCTCTTTACGAATACCGCTTACATTTATGTAACGTATAACAATTCTGTGCAACATTAACATTGGTAAGTGAACAGGATACATCACTAAATCGGCTTATGCAGACACGGGTGGCCCAGTGGGCCAAGGTGATGCTACGAGTTGGTTCGAATCCAGGATTCACTCCAAATTTGTTCTAAGGTTAATTGTGTAAAACCTGCATCCTTTCGGGATTTTATCCAAGGTCAAGCTGAGATCCGGAGACAGATCTGAAATATTGACAAAACAGCGTTAAGCCAATACCATTGTAATTATCTGTAAAACGTTTAATGGTTTATACAGATACAACTGTACGTACTGTTTATATATAAAGGCAGTTTTAAATGGGTACGTTGGAGTAATCAAAACAAAGAATGTACTCGGCCCCTTTACTTTGGGAACCATGGCAACACATATCGCCTGATAATGATCCCCAACGAGGTTTGCCCGTGGACGTGATTGTCCCGTAATTACATGGCCACATCTTAGTTTTCTCGTTTATTGTAATATATATCTAATTACCGATACAGATGGATTTAGTAATGCAATACATTTAGACACAGGTCTTGATATCAGTTCGACACCTGACCAAGGAATGGTCTAATCCAGGTGTACAGTGAGTTCCGGAGAACTATCGTCCATTTACACGTTACATTATGTAAATGTTATACGGCCTGTCGTGTTATTTGAATATGTTACTGGGTGTGAAGCGCATTAGTAGAGTGCAAGCTGTGCCATAGCTTAGCAAATGCTGAAAGTTAAACTGTACCAAGTAACCCGTAATAATGGGGCACTGGCGGCCATGTTGTCTAAGGCGTCGCAATTAGCTGGGTAGAGTTGGACCATTATTTGTGTCATGATCGTACGATCGTGGTTCGAATCGGACATTAAATCTGATTATAAATATTAGTTTCTCAGCATCAAGGGCGTTATAGTGGTATAGCCAGGTTCGCCACTACACTTCCCTCCCCTGATATATACTACGATCTAAATCTTGTTGGGTTTAAACTCGAAAAGCGCTTCAGTTAACATCCCTTACCTTCTTATCTCTGACCTTCTTATCTCTGACCTTCCTTCCACGTGGGAAGTTGTATTGTCGTTGAAATCCTGTCCAAATACGTGCACGTGTAACTAGAATATATACATACACAAATTCTGGTGATTGATGTTGTGACAGTTACATATATTTGCCTTCACTTAGTTTCTCCCACCCGTCGTTTACCCGTTTCCCATACAAGAACATCTGAAAAGGGACAATCTCACGATGTTTATGACGTTCAACTTATTAGCCCCACATAAAAGAATCATCTGTTAGGAAGCCATCAGTTTTTATTCCGTTCTTCAAAACACGAAATAAACTCTGAGGCTTAAACATTGCATGACATTATTTCAAGGCGTTCACGAATAAAGGTGTCACGTGACTTGAGCTCAGTGTCCCAGGTCGGGGATATTTGCGGCATTCCTTTGTTCCCCCGTTTTTATTTCTTCTTTTGACAAAAACACTACACAGATTAAATGGATGTAATCCCATGTATACATGGTTACGTCATAAAGATCGATTTCATGAGAACGTCTTGTCAATGCCTGTCTTCATCAGTGCCTGTCTTCATCAATAAATGTCAGTGTTCATTCGAGCGGTGGTTTTACAGCCCTATGGCTGTTAATGTTCTGTTTCTGCTCTTAGAAACAGTTCAGTTATATCAGGATGATGAGAGGTCTTTAACTACCAACAGTGTGGCAGGTCCTCTGTCCAAGCTTTATATACCCCGTTACCTGTATACAATCATAGTAATTAAATGATTATTCCACGTGGCAAAATTGGAAGTGACAACAACAATATATATATAATATATTTATATTTGTGTGATACACAATTATACTAAATTACATCTGGCAGAAATTCTGCAATTGGGGTTCGAGTTAAGGACGCAACTCTACAATGTAGCATCTGAGGCTTTTGAGTCATCAAATAAGATAAGCATCTAAAGATGATAAAGTGTATATGGAAACCAAACGACTTAATTTATCGGGCTTATGACCATAGCAGAGGTTGTCATAATCGTGTTCAGAGCTAACCGTTCTTGTCTGTAAATCCAGTTCTATAAGTGCAATATTTTCAACATCGTGTAGTTAACTTCAGGTTCTGGTGTTTAATTACCCCGCCGCCATGGCAGGACATATGGCCGTGTTTTTATCCGCCGCGGTTTGACACGCTCTCTCTGTACATGGCAAGCCGCGAGACACACACATATAATGTAGAAAAATGACTTCGTTGTTCTATATATAAAGTTAAGAAGCTGAAAAACATATGCGTTTAAGTCAGATAACGAGGTTTTATTTCAGTGAATACAACAATGTTTGAAATCTTAGATTACACGTGAGCATCAAGTGCCCAGGTGTACGTGACTTCCATGCAGGTGCGTCACGTGCAGATCACTGTCATGCAATGACTCACAGTTCATGGAAGAACGTAACGTTTTTCTTCCAAACAGAGAACGTGGACTCTGACGTATGTTTCCACCATTACACATCCACGCTGACCTCTGTAACCTGCATACATTAATGCAAACTTTGACCCAAAGACTTTTCTCTAAGAAGAACCCTTAACCTGCACGAAGTCAGGACAAGTCCATCTTACTTACACCGACCCAAGGATTCTGAGGTCGCATGGCATCTGTATCCGTGTGTGTGACAGACTGTCACGCCTGTCACCATTGTCCGCATGCCCCACACATAACCCATCGTCAAGGTCGCCGTCCCCAGGGGTGAAAGGTTAAAGACAGGAATACTACAGATGTCACGAAAGAGGTCGGATCTCAAGAAGCAAGAAATATATTAAATATTATTTGTGCAGCATTCTTTATTTCTAGTTCGTGCTATATCATTTATTTAGCAATGAAATAATATATCTGGACAATTGGATTTAAATGCGAAATGACACTTAATGGCGGGACTACTTTTAGGTGACTTAAATGACACAGAATAGTTTTCAGAGCTGTTTCGTTGAAAATGGTATTAAAACAGCCAGCTTCAGGTTATTATTTAGTTGAAGACGTGACGTGCCCTACGTTGATGTGAGTGGTAAGGTTACTGTACAACAGCAACACACAATGGAGTGAGTGAGTGAGTTTACTTTTACGCCTCTTTTAGCAATTTTGCAGCAATATCACGGCGGGGGACACCAGAGATGGGCTTCACACATTGTACCCATGTGGGAACTCGAACCCGGGTCTTCGGCGTGTAGGTGATATGAGGTGTAGGCGATATGAGGTGTAGGCGATATGAGGGCAAGCCGTGAGGAGCGAACGGTTTAATCACTCGGCTACTCCATCGCCCAGCGCACAATGGAAACCGTCAAGGAAGACAGTTAATTGATACACCACATCTTTAAGGAAGTGTTTCTCATGACGAAATAATCTAGGACAATCAATCATGGTGGTATGGTTTTCACATTATAGACTATAAA